TGCACCCCTGCGCAGCTTGCTGGATAGTGTTTCGGCCAAAGTTGTTGGTTGGATGTCTGACGTCTGTGAATGTCACGAGGCCAAGCCCGAAGGTAAAGGAGGGAGCCGAACCACGTTGGACTGGGGTGTTACACCCAATCACGGTCATGCAAAACAGAAGTTAGTTTCGGGTGATATATTTCTATGAACTTTTTTTTAACATTTTGGCTTATAGTTTTTTAATTCTAAATTTTATACATACACAAAAATGTGATAGTCGCTTTCACTTTTTCACTTTTCCTCATCCTCTCTTAGCGACCAAATTTGACCTTGTCCGATATGATCCGTCTTACGAAAAAAAAGAATTGCCGGCCATGACAATTATTTGCCCAAAGGCGCTCTACGCAAGAAACACCAGCCAGTCCAAAACTGGCGAACGATCTTTCTGGTGCTGGAATCATCTTCAATGAAAATTTCAGGATATATTAATAATCTTAATCCTTTGAGCTACTGAGCGCTGGGAACATTCGCTAGCATTCCATTGTCAGCTGCGTTACCAACATTACTCAAATTACCAACAATAATACCATTACCTACCACAGCATCATGCAGAGCGCCGGGCCTGCGAGTCGATGAGGGTCATATCACGGTTCTGTGTGGCTGACTTTTGTCCATCGTGAGACTGCGCTGTAAGATTACGCCTTATTGTCGGCTGTGGGGGACGCATATTGGTGTTTGAGAGTATGTTTTCGCTACATGTTGTTCTTTTGGCGTTTAGCCTTCACTGGAGCACAATAAAACATGCGGAATGCGGATGATTTCAAGAATGCCCGAAACAGCCCACTGAATGATAAATTATTACGTTTTCACAAAAATGCAATTTTTGAAAACACTTTTTTTATCAGCTCACCAGCAGCTTTCGAATTCGTTTCTTTTGTGGATGAAATGACTTTCCGACGAACCGTGCGTATGCAGCTGGGGCCCACCACTAACGCGTCTCTGTTCTGTTGCATGATATGGTGGCGTGGCGACTAACTCGTGAGCTGCGGTCGAGCTGCGCCCTTCCTTCACGGAACGTGTGAGTATGGGTTACCGGCCGACCCTGCGCCGCATCCCTCCCAGAGCCCTCCCACGCCGCTCCCAGAGCCGCACCAGAGCCCAACCGCATCCCTCCCAGAGCCCTCTCACGCCGCTCCCAGAGCCGCACCAGAGCCCAACCGCATCCCTCCCAGAGCCCTCCCACGCCCCCCCCCCCCTCTAAATTAACCTGAACTAAGGTCAGGTTAATTTAGCGACCTCCTCATTATAACTCAATGGGAGAAAACTGAAATGCGCCTCTTTTGGACGAAGCCATGATAAACACCCCCAAATATTGAATTACAAGTAACTTAGACACACTGAACATGAAAATGGTGTCAATGACCCCCTGTTTAAGTCCCTGAGGTCATCTCAGGTCACGAATGGTATATAAGAGTTTTTCGCAAATAATTTTTGATAGAAGCATGCTAGAGCGATGAAAACGCCTTAGATGGGTTCAGCAGGACGATACGGCTCGACTGATATGCAACATGACCATTTTCGGTTAGGTCTTGTTGTCAATTAACCCGCGAGTTGCTGGAGGGGGAGGGGCGTTAAACGCCCCCACTTTTTTCGCCGGGCCATAGCATAAAAACGCCAAATTTTGGGTACCTGTAGGGAATTGATTGAAGTTTATTGTGACAAAGTTTCAAAAAAATCGGTCGGAAAATTTTTGAGATCGTGGTTTTAGTGACGTCATGCTTTCTGAGTTTTCGACCAAAAACGGCATATGTTCAAAAAATCATATAAAATCACAGAATAGACATAAAGACATGCCGTAAACGGCATTAGACTGCCAATACCATGAGCAATCAAATGGCTATCTTCGATTATTGATTATTGTTTCGCATTTTCCAAAATCTTGATCTGAATCTTGGCAATTTCTCGTGACTACCTCACGACCATGATACATGCATTTCTTAATTTGAACTTTTTTAGCCAAACACGTACACATATGATAAAATGAATGTCACCAACGTGTTCTACGCATCAAATTACCCATAAAACATGTGTCACAGGCTGCGAATATCAGTTTTGATTTTCGGGGATATGTGCCTACCCGGTTGACCTGACCTTGACCCTGACCTATGCTTGACTGACCCCTACATGGAGCTGACACTCTTGTAGGCCTTATATGATGGATTGTGCACCGTTTTGACAGAGTTTATGACGAGAGGCGCCCATTGCGAAGTCCTGAAGTCCATGCTACTGAAAGCCCGATTTCAGGTGTTTGACCTGACCTTGACCCGACCTGTGACCTCAAAATTCAACTTTAAAATACTCAGCTGAAGCGTCTCGTCGCGTTCTTTCGTTTGCCGCCTCGTGCGTTTCGCTGCGCCCATTGGTTCTCGAGTTATCGGCTGGGGGCGTTTAACGCCCCCCCCCCCCCGCAAACGGTGGGTGGCGAAATACCCCAACAACTGCCGGGTTAAAGGTCAAATTTTCAAGTTGATCTTTTTAGGTCAAGTGATAAAAAGATCGGCTATTTTGGCAGTTTTTGTCCCTTTCAGGCAACACCGTTAAGACGTTTTGTCAAATCTGAGAGGAAAGAGCGTTAATAGGGGTATCGAATGCGCCTTTCTGCGGCGCTGTAGCTCTATTGGTTCCCAAGTTATGCGTTAGCTTCTTGGAAATTGTCGGCCAAATTACCCCGCCTTGCCATTCTGAAAAGTTTTGTCTGTAAAGCCATTACGGTTATACGGAAATACATGAAATTACTCTTGAAAACGCTGAACACCCTAAGCATTGGGACCACATTCTCGAAATTTGTCTACAGCCCGATTTCTACATGCTATATAATTTTTTGAACGGAAGTAAAAGTTATAATTTTCTAATCAAATTTATGTTTTATTGATTTTGAAGAAAATTACGAGGGGTAGATTTAAAGAAATCCACGGATAAGCTCCACAAATGACCCATGAATAGAGGCTAGAATTATTTCATTCCCTTTTGTCAGATATCGTAAAGTTGGGACCGGCCAATTTATTCTGCCGGCCAAATTACCCCATCCTCCCCTGCATATCATGCCGCATCTGACGTTGGTAAAATTCGTTGGCTATTTTCTTAGCTGATATTTTTTTTTCACGCCTGCGAATGTTTTTTTTTCGCCTGGTTGGCGAAACTTGTCTTTGACAGAAAACTCCGCAGGCGGCTATCTTTCTGTTGGTAAAACTGGCATCTGATCTTAAATTAACTGGACTTAAAAATATTATAACGTGTATGAAATAGATGTACCATAATGCATGTAAATAAACCACTACAAACAGCAAGTGGGGATCGCCATGGGGAACAAAGTGGCCCCTCCTGTGACCATCATCTTCATGCACCGCTTTGAGCAGACCGCCATCAGAAACGCGTCTCTAAAACCAGATTTCTATGGCAGGTACTTACATTGACGACTGCATGGGAGTGTGGACACACGGTCACGAGAACATTCTGAGTTTCATTGACTATCTCAATTCAATTCATCCAACAATCAAATTCACTCTTGAGGACAGCTTCTCTTCTGGTAAAGTAGTCTTTCTAGACACGCTAGTTACGGTAAATAGCAACTTTAAAAATTCAACAGAACTGTATACCTATCAAGTTCAATATCAATCCTTCAGGCATCATCATTCACCAAACCCCATCATATCCAATGGCCACGAAAAAGTCTCTAATTCGTTCAGAGTTCCTGCGGGCTATGCGAATGTCCTCTGATACAGCCGCCACTTCCCGCTCCTGTAAAAAAAAACACAGGACTTAGTTGAAGCCAGCGGCTACCGGAAACACCTCGTGCGACGACTACACAGAGAGGTCGCACAAACCTGTAGGGGGGACTCAGATGTAGGAAGGCAACTCTCTCGACGCAAAAAAAGACCCCGACTCTTTGAACGGATGCTTAACTCTTCCTTACATTGATGAAGCTGTAAATGCCAAAGGGAAATCCATCGTTAAAAAGTCAGGACTAAACGTACGCGTAGCATGGCGTAACACTAAAACTCTCAAAAGCGCTCTAACTCGTTCAGCTTTCTCTCAGCCACAATGCCCGTCTGGCACACGGACATGTCATGCTTGCGAATCTGGCTTTAAAGGTAAATGCTGAACTTCTGGAGTAGTCTACAAGATCACCTGTACGCTCTGCAAGGTAAGGGGGGAGGATGTCACATACATACTTAGGAGAGACAAAAGACCCATCAGGCTGCGTTTCAACGAACACCTTAGAAACGCTAAAAACAGAACACCGGATATGCCCATCGGAGATCGTTTTACCATCAGTCATCAGGAATATCTCTTGACACTTCAAGAAACACACCTTTATCGGTAGAAATCCTACAAAAGACAAGTGACCATCCACACATAAAATATGTGAATCAGTCCAACTTCGCAAACACAGACCGGTTTTCAACCGAAACATATTTTCTTGGCACATTTTGTAGCTGTTATCACTCGCCAATGACATCATGCCTACGCTTATTCATAAGTCATAAATTCAGAAGTATTTTGTGCCAAATGTGTATCATGGAAAGCAAAGTGCTACCTTTATAGTGGTAGAATGATGTTGACTGTGGATTTCAATGTTTCTATGCATATTTGTACGAATGTAACGACTACTTCGAGTGTACCTATTACCAAGTGTGAAAGTGCCTGTCATTCTTATCACGCGAAAAGTAGAAACTGACGATGATTCGACTTGTACCTAATTTGTATAATATTCTTATATTTTGGAATTTGGCCGAAAATTCATCTAAAACAAAAAATTCATGAATGGAAAGGATAATTTTGTAAGAAGGTCATTCAAAAACAAAAACAAAATAAAATGAAATAAAATAGAATAGAATAAAATAAAATATAATAAAATAAAATGAAATAAATAAATAAAAACGAGGACGCTAGCAGCGCTGGCCCGCTGTTTCCTTGCCATTAGTGGCGCCACTGACGCCGCTCGCTTGTCTCGGTTGCAGTATCGCTCGGCCGTCGGCCTGGCTGCTCAGCCGTCCCTCCAATTGCAGAATAAGCAGCGGTCTTTCCTGACATTCGGTTTCGGCGCCGGCGGCAGCGGCCGCCGCGAGAGTCACATCAATGTGAACGTCACACCCACCGGTCACGAGGTCAGCTCCGCCGATACGCCCGAAATTCGCAAGTACAAGAAGCGCTTCAACTCTGAGATCCTGTGCGCCGCACTCTGGGGTAAGTGAGGTCAACGGCGGCTGGGGTCTGACGAGGGGGAAGGCAGAGTATCAACTGTGGGTAGCTGGGTCCCTGGGTGGGTAACTGTGGGTAACTGTGGGTCCCTGAACTGAAAATAGGTATTACCCAAATTTCTAGGTCACTTATCGAATAAATGGTATTATGGCCAGTCAGGCAAATGTTTGGGGTGTCTGAAAGAAACATAATTTTCATGTTCTTGTCAAAACCGGCCTCGCGTATCATAGAAGTCGTGACATTTGCATGCTAACGCACGCTAATCTACTGCATAAAGGTAACAATTTCATAACACGTTCGGGAAGAGGACAAATGAGGTTAACCCGGCAGGCGGTGGGCCTCCCGGCCACCTTCCGCGCGGTGGGGGGGGGACATTTTTTGCCCCCCCCGTACCCCCCCCCCGTATCTACGGAACTACGGGACGGATCCGTAAAATTTAAACGGCGTTCGATAGCCCTGTCAAATTTGTTGAGGAAAACCAAATTTCATTGACCTCGGGGTCACTGATGACGTCACAGGTCAGGTCAAAGATAAAATGTTTCACCGTTCACGGGTCTTCTAGGGAATGCGCTATAACACCGAGTAAACCGCATTTTGTCGAAAATCAGCGATAGGGCGTCAGTTGCATAGTACATATGTTGCTATAAGAGGTCACTGACAATACCAGGTCAGGTCACCAAGGGTCAGCATATGAACCCAACTTAACTAAGGTTGTGCGATGCATGTTTAATGACCAATTTTCCATTTGCAACTCAATGGTGTTGGTTATAAGACCATCAGGTACGGTTTAGGTCACTTTCTGGTGAAGGTCAGGTAAAAAGGTTTAAATTTTAAAGTTGATAGTTTTGCATAAAATGGGTATTGATTCGATGAAGCTCGTCACGGGGAGTCTAATGGTGGTCTTTGTTTAGCACTACGAGGTCTAGACTGGCTGAAAATGGAGTTTGAAAGTTTGACGTCATCAATGTTGTAGTTTTTTCGTTTTGAACAGTTTTTTTTTTCGCTAAACTTGGCCAAAAAAGAGGTATCGATCTCAAATTTGGTATGCGGATAGAGGTGGTAAGAACTATCACATATATTCCGTTTCTTTTCGAAATTCAAAAACTTTTTGGTTTTTTCGGCTATTTTATTCAAAAAAATTATTTTTGGATTTTTGGGGGTCAAAATCCAAAAATTCCAAAAATCAGAGATAGCAGTTTTGTAGCCCTCTTAATTCTACACCTTTTATGTCTGAATCATTTTTCTGTATCTCTAAAGCTGTAGCCCTGACAGCTCTTCCCGCGAAACCTTTTTTTTTTTGGTCGAAGATGGCAGAAATGACGTCACTCCTACGTCATTAGCGGCCAACCTATCATAGCCTTTGGAAGAATTTTTGGTCACAATGTGCAATAGCTATTCACGGGAGGACGCTGAAAGCCTGGAAGGTTAAGCCTCCACCTCAATGCATACTCAATGCCCAGTACAGTACCATAGATATGTGACAGGGAGTATTTGATTTCAGTTAGTTTGCAACGACCCTAGAGTGGTTGTAACCTCCCTGAACGATCAGTTTGTTTGCAACGACCCTAGGGACGTTACAAAATAACTGCTCGTTCCGGGACGTTGCACAGTGGGGATTTTTCCGATCTAGCGCCTCTTAATTCAAAAAATATTTTTTGGGTTTTTGTTTATTTTTTGTGTTAGTGGGGCTAAGAAATGTCTGAATTTTTCATATATGGCATTGGTTTATCTGTATGTTCACAGCAAGACTAGGAAAAATGCGCCCAAAGTTCACACTCATGCGTGATTACTCAATGGGCTCAGTATGGCCCGAAAGTATAGCTCAATTTCATTGCCCTGTCCTGTTGGTTTTAATCTTGCGAGGTCTTAAAGCTGCATATCTTCTGAAAGGCATATTTATTAGGAATGGAATGGCAAACAGAAAGTATGCCACAACCTTATTAAGGTCACAAAAATGCCATTTACAAAAAACCCTTACAGTCACCATATTGAAGGAATGGTATTCTAAATAAATGTAGGAAATCAACAATGTTTTCCACACTTTTCCACTCCGAAATATATCCTATCGAATTCGCCACTTTCTCCTGCACAAGACAACGCCTAGTTTGGCTGCCGAAACTTGCCTGAACACGGAATATTCACACTAGAGTATCTTAATACCCCACTCTAGGAGCGTTAGGGCAAACAGCACGATATAGGTATGTTCCGGACATAGGCGAATAATTTTACTTCGTGATTTATATGATGCATATTTTGTGAGACACATTCATTAGGAATAGGATGACAAGCGTAAATTATACATACCGTAACCTTATTAACCCTCGCACTTGTGGGGAGGGGGAGGGGAAGGAGTCGGATAAAACCCCATGGTTTTCCGCAAATTACTCGCGCAAAAAGCGGCCGATCGCGACGAAACTTTCGGTGCCCTCGAGATAATCAATTTCACATCTAACCTAAAAATTTCATGACTCTGACCCAACTGACCTTTGACCTGTGGCATATTTCTCGAGACCATGTTTGGCCGGAATCGCGATTCGGCGTATGCCAGCTCACATTATCCGCGGTTTCCAGTCTATTTGTGGTTTTAAACGTTCAAATATGTGAAATGATGTTGGTGCCATGCATTATGGTGGGTGTCAAGGTCACGTGAAGGTCAAGTCAAGGTCATTGACCTTTTGATGACCTTGGTTCACTTTTTCGAGTTTTACTTGTTTCTAGGGTAGTTTTTGGTGCTGATTTCGAATTTAGCAGCCATTTGAATATTTACGAAGTAGTTCTGGTGCCTTCGTACCATGTTACGAAGCTATCAGTAGTAGGTGACACCTACTATGGATGGCCGGCAGGACGCCTACTGGTTGATCTAACCTGACCTGACCCGACCAGGCCTAAATGCATAAAGACATCGTCTGTGATCAAAACTAACATGAAATTCGTGATCAGCAGCCCAAAATACCCCGTAGCACCCTAACTTTGCGAAGTTTCAAGAGGTCTCGATTTCCCAACTTTAGTTGGGTCATTAAACTGACTTGGAAAGTCAACTAATGACCTTGGACTTTAAAATTGAATATATTCGGCCTCATTTCGTCATAGGCAGCACGCTTGATTTTTCCGCGAAGCTCTAGCTTGATCAGGGGCCAAACGGCTGAGCCGGGGGTCCAATTGAACCCCCTATACTATGATGGTTATGCACATTTACAGGTAAAATTCTCACCAGGACACACCAGCCAACATCTGTGCACAATCTGGCTACAATGCTACCTATGGTTTGCCCTCTACGAATAAAGACGTGCTAGATCGGAAAAATCCCCACTGTGCGTTGTAACGAAACTAGGGTCCGTGCAACCTCCCTAGTTAGTATGCAACGAACCTAGGGTTGTTACAAAATAACTAGGAGTTTAAGAATTCATCGAGTCTCGTTTCACAGGAGGGCCGTCAACAATCTTGTCCAATGAAAATCTTGTTCAATCTAGTTCAGTTTAAAAAAAGGAGAATAAAATTTGAACATTCAGCTCAGGAGTATTTCACGACGGTCATCTAGTACACATTTTGTGCAGATTAGGTGCACATTTGGCGCAAATTTGTTCAAATTAGATGGGCATTCGCCAGGAAGCCCTTCGTAAAAACGGCTATTATCCGCTCGTTTCCAGTCTTTTTGTGATTGTAAACGTTCAAACATGTGAAATGATGGTTGTCCCATGTATTATGTTGGGCGTCAAGGTCACGTGAAGGCTAGGTCAAGGTCATTGACCTTTGATGACCTTAGTTCACTTCTTCGGGGTTCATATATTTTAAGGCTAGTTTTTGGAGCTGATTTCGAATTTAGCACCCATTTGAACATTTACGAAGTAATTCTGGCGCCATCGTACCATGTCACGAAGCTGTCAGTGCACAGTGGCCCTTTTTCAGAATTATCACGCATTAATTCCCACATTACCTGAAAGTGGTGCAAGACATCACCACGTGATCAAGGACGTATTCCCTGCCAATGCAAAGAGAAGAAAAGAAACGAACTGCCCAAGGAGATTCGGTCCAACAGCGACAGGCCGCTCGGCCCAAGATTTGGCGCACGTTCGCGCGGCTCGCCCGCCGGCCGGCCCAGGCCGCTCCGAACGCAAGTGTGGCGAGCCCGCCAGCCGACCGCGCTGCACTGACCGCCAGGACGCCCCAGGGCGTCACGTGACCGCATCTACAGCTGTTGCCAGCCACCGTTATCGGCCCCGGCCGGGCAGCAACTAAGGTCAGCGCGACGCGAACAATACAAACACATAGGTAGGCGCTTTTGACGTTAGATCTTAAGCCGACCACGGGACTTGTGCGGCTTGGACATCAAACGCGACAAGAAATCGGACAGTTTTTCTTGAGCACAGCGTTATGCCTACATGACATTTCAATAAGCACATCTTATGGCAAAAGTCAAGCCACATTTAGGCGCACACCAGGTGACACCAGCTTCGAGCCAGGTCAATGAGCTTAGTCGTATCGAACAGGAGCCACAGCCGCTCGCGGACTGAACTGGCTCACGTTATCCACCGTAGAAGCAAAATGGCGCAAAATGGCGCGATGTCCTTTGGTGGACATGGTCAGAAGAGATCGGCGATTCGAACGATGTATAATACGACATGTTCCAGAGTGTGCTACTTAACATAAAGCTTCATATGTATGCCGCCATCTCCAGTTAATGATTGTCCTGTTATTGTGTCCACAATATTCGGCAAAAGTGGTCTATTTAAGTTTATACAATGAAAATTGTGGTTTCTAGAGCTTCTACGTAAACTCAGCTTCACAGCCATGCCACTAATTTTTAATATTTTATCACCGAAAGCCGTACAAATTGATGTTCATCTCACCCTGCTTTTTAGGGTCCGCCGGTGCGGTGGTGTCCGCGCGCCTCTCGACAAACTTCGATTTTGCGGTCAGTTTTACCAAAGATAATTATTTTTTAGGAGGTAAAAATGGCACCATCGGATAGTTTGGAATGTTTTGCA